ACCTCGTATATGCTCTAGAATGTGCCCTACCAAAGTGAAGATGGTCAATAGATGTTTACGAAGGAGGCCATATGGGTGGAGTATTTACATTTTTTACCCGCAGGCCTGATTAAATCAAAAACTCTCCCTCAAATAAACTGACTCGAGAACCAAGGTCTTCATCCGTTTTGCGTTGTAAGATCTATGAAAACGCAGGGCAGCTAATATGTTTTTTGTATTCCCTTTTTAATCATCTTCGTAAGGGAGCAGCGTAGAGCAGGCTCTCTTGACAGCTAGCAGACGAATGTCTCTGATCTGTCTCCAAGCTCATGAGAGGCCGTAGCGACCGTTTAACGCTCCCTTATTCTTCATTCGGCAGGAACGTTGGAGGTCCGTTGTGGTGGATTTCTGGCAGACCTGCCTGCGCTAGCATTCCAGGTGTTCCAATGGCGAAAATAATAACCTGAACTTTTGTGTGCTTGAAGGCTAATTGAGGACATTTATTGTTCAAAGTGCCTTCCGTATGGGTTCATATCCTTTTCGGACGGTTTGGTGACAGGCTTTGTAGCAACCTCGCAAACGTGAGAGATTGAACTTACTTGCCGACTGATGGCGTGGTTGCCGGATTTCAGTGAATTAAGTCCTTTGTTATCAAATTGCAGCATTCTCTTTTCATCTGACCCGTTTATTTTTGAGGAGAGAAAAAATATCCGGTTTATTCAAATATTTCTTGTAAACGACAATGCGAATGACAAAATTAGAGCCCATCTGATTGTGCAACACATTGGGAGACGCGTTAGCATATGGTTTTTTACGTGCGTGTATCTCTACCTTGCAAACAAATTTATATATAGGAAATTTTAATAAAATAAGCGAAGTTATTTGGCATTTAATAGTTGTTCTACTTCGTTTTACAATCTGTTATTTACAAATAAATATATAAAAAGCCGGCCCCTTGGCTTGAGCACATTTTCAAAAAATAAAAGTAGCCGAAGAATATCGCAGTTTGCATTTATTCTGGCTTGTCACTTATGGCATTTTACTGGCTCAATTTTCTTTCGTTGATTCCTCTCTAATAGTAAGGACACCTATGGAGGAGTTCAAGGATTGGTTGGCCGCTGCAGAAAAGGAAGTGGATACAAAAATTATCGGCCTAAATGGAAACACCCTGGACGATGTGATTTCGCAATTTGCGGTTCGTGAACTTCCTGTCTTCGTTGTAGATTTCAC